ACTGAAATAAAAGGGAAACTGCTGAGCTGAAGCCCTAGACTAGGAATGGCCTCCTCTTTCTATCCCTCTAACAAAGTCTCCTTGACTCAATGGGGCGTTTTTTTAATGGTTCTTGGCAACGGTAATTAAACAATTCCTGCAGTTACTTATTTAAGGTTTGCCTCCCTGCTGTCTCCAAGAGTAGGAAGAACAGTATTTCACCCGTTTCAATCCCTATACCTAACATACTGCATCATAGATTTTCTTTCCTTTTTTTTTTAATATTTATTTATATATTTGAAAGTCAGAGTTACACAGCGAGAGGACAGGCAGAGAGAGAGAGAGAGAGGTCTTCCATCCGCTGGTTCACTCCCCAATTGGCCACAATGGCCGGAGTTGCGCTGATCTAAGCTAGGAGCCAGGAGCTTCTTCCAGGTCTCCTATGTAGGTGCAGGGGCCCAAGGACTTGGGCCATCTTCTACTGCTTTCCCAGGCCATAGCAGAGAGCTGGATTGGAAGTGGAGCAGCCAGGACTTGAACTGGTGCCCCTATGGGATGCCGGCACTGCAGGTGACGGCCTCACCTGCTATGCCACAGCACCGGCCCCCATAGATTTTCAGTAAATCACTTAGTTGAGGGAACAGGTGTTTAGCCTTATGTTTCAGATGCCTGTGCCCTACATCCAAATACCTGAGCGTGATTCCTGGCTCCAGCTCCTGACTCCAACTTCCTATGGCTCAAGTGCTTGGGTTCCGGCCACCCATGTGGGAGATCCGGATTGAGTTCCTGGCTCCTGGCTTCTGCAGGCCCAGCCCCTACTGTGCTGGCATTTGGACAATGAGCCAGCAGATGGAAGATCTCTCTCTCTCTCTCTGTCTCTCTCTCTCTCTCTCTCTCCCCCTCATAAAAAATAGCTTAGTTGGATGGATGAAAGATCCAGGTAAAGTTGCAGTTTTGTCCTAAGGATGGCATTGGGCATGTACAGAGGGACCCCCCTCTGTCCACCCCTGGTTTCTTGCATCACTCACTCGTCCCTGAGCACCCAATACTTCCCTCTTCCGTAGGTGTTCTGCAAGTCTCCATCAGCAGTTTGCCAGGTCCTGGGAGGGAGAGGCAACCACTCACGGTCCCCGCTGTCTAGCCGCAGCGCCGAGCCTTGAGCTCAGAAACAATCCGATACTACAGACAACTGCGTTGTTTCCACGTTTTGGACGCAATTTTCTCTTGTGAACGATACTGTTCACAAAGTGAAAATCCCCTGCTGGGAAACAGTTGCAGGCACGTCTGCTGTTGAAACAGTATGTGCATTTCTGGGGGGTGGGGGAAATGCCCTTTTGCTAAACTGCATCCAACCTTATCAAGATAAGCACAGGCGGTTCAGGACCTTTGCAACCCTCTAACGGGCAGCCCTTAGGAAAAAGCGGCAGAAGGTCCCCGGATGCCACGGCCCTGAAGCCTTGCAGGTGGAAGAGCAGGCGCCCCCTGGTGCCCGCAGAGAGCGCTGCAAGGTTGGTGTGGGGCAGTGCGGGGTGCAGGCAGCGGCCCTCACAAGGACTCCCCCTGCACAGCCTTCACCAGACTTAGGGGTCTTTTGTTTCTGGAGGGTCTTTCTGTTCTGTCCTCCTTGTGGGAAGCTCATCCATGAGTCAACTGACCTTCTTACGCTGGTGCCGTGGCCTCCCTGAGCAGGGAGGGGACTGGTGGGGGACCTGACTGGTGGCTGGCAGCCTAGACTGTGTGTCCCAGCAATGTGGTCCACGCAGGACGATTGGTTACTATGGTTTATCTGCACACCCTTTGCTAAAGGCAATCATGCTGACAATGGCGACACACAATTATTCCGTTCAGACCTGGGCTGCTGTCCTAAACACCCTGCAGGTCGTATTTGAGAGTCAGGCCAGCTCTGCAACAAAGATGCACACGTTAGGGCCAGGTTGCTTCTCCTTGGGGTACCTTGTGGTCTCAGCCGGGCCAGTGGCCAAGTTCCTAGACAAGACTGGTCTACTAGATTCCCAGAAGTGACAGATGGCCGGAGGAGGGGCTAAAACAAACAAAACACACCCTGCAAGCACTGTCCTTTCTCCTCTGCTGGCCTCAGAAGCTTGCAAGAGGAAAAGAGAGTGGTCAGTATTGTTTAGCGTGGTACCTGGGTTAATGCAGGAAGTGGCTTGGCCCCTTGCTTAGCCATCGCAGCTGGTTTAGCACAGACAACAGGAATGTCGTTTTAGCCAGGCGAGGTTAATCGTTTGCATTCCAGCTGTTATCTCCTGTCCTTGAAGCTTCTCTATCCCTTGTTTCCCAGTCAGTCCATTCTTAGAGAATTTTCAAGAAAGATTTCTTATTTATTCTGAAAACGCTGCATCTGTTTCTTCCCCTGGGCAGCTCCAAACTCACCAGGGGCTGACAAAAATTAAACTTCTTGAAGGCAAAAGTTAATTAAGTTTCTCCACTAATGCCAAGAATGTACTAGAAGATTTCAGAACATCACTTACCATTTTCATCTTGGTCCACCTAACAACAT